GGTTGGGATGTAAACTGTGAAGTATGAACCCATAGTGGGAAGGCTGTGGGTTCAATCCCCAGTTCAAAAACAAACAACAAGCCCCAGCAGAAAAGGCCATGAAAAGCTTGCAGCAAGTCGGTCCTGGCTGGTTTGTCTGTTATCCTTGCCCAAGAAAGCCCATGACCAGCCTCTTCCTAAGCATATTCTGACCAAACTTCTGAATCCTAAGGTCTCTCCTTGGCCAGCGGCCCCGAAGCTGGGACTCCTCCCTCCAGACTCACTGACAGTCATTCACTTTCTCCTCTAGTTTCTATCTTGTCACCCCACCCTCTCCACTCCTCATTGACAAGAGTTCAGAAAGTGGCCCCGCACCCAGAATTCAATACTGTCACTTCCAACCTTAGCTCCTCTCCCAAGACCACACTGCCCTGTTGCGGTCTACTCGCATATATGCCCCCCGCTTTGGGAATCCCACACCGCCCAGCTCTGCACACGCTAGGGTTTCACGTGGTTACGAGCCTCCGAGGGAGCAATCAGGTCAAGACTGTGTATCTCTCGGAGAACAATAACCGTTCCCAACAGGTCTCGGGGCTTCGGCCGGATCCAAAGGCGCGGCTCACCTGCGGCGCGGCGGGGGGCGGCCTGGGGACCATTCCTGCCTCGCGGGGAGGCTCCGGGACCCGAACTGCGGAGAAAGGAGAGGGCGCTCACCGGGCTGGGACAGCTCGGCCACTGTGCTGCTAGAGGATGGAAGGAGCTCGGGCCCCGCCCCTGCCCGCCGCTCCCGCTCGCCCGAAGGCGAGCCTCCAGGGTGTGCGGGACGATCCCCTCCGGCCACGCCCAGTCCCATCCGCAGGCGGTGGGCGAGGCCCCCAAACCCGCGAGGTGCCGCGCCGACCCGCGCACACTCTGGAATCACCGCCTCCAAGGAGCTCCGGATTCGTGACCTCGAGCCCACCCGGGCCCTCCGGATTCGTGACCTCGAGCCCACCCGGGCCCTCGGGTTGGCCCCTCCCGCCCCGGCTGCAGGCTTTCTTCTGTCTGGTTCTTTTCAATGGAAAGGCCAGATGCCCAAAGCGGTCTCCGCCGCAACGGGGGGCGGACAATGGCCGCAGCGGTAGGGCAAAGCCAGAAGTGCGCCTGCGCACGCGGAGCCTCACGCCAGCACCTCCCAAGCCACGCCGCGCGCGCGCAAACTACACTACCCAGAGTCCCACGCGCGCAGGCCCTATAAAGGCAACCCCTGGGGGCGCTGTGTGCCCTGCTGGGTACTGTGGTGAGTGCTGAGAAAGACTGGCTGTGTGGTTTGAGTGTTTGTATGTCCGTTTAATGACTGAAAGCCTCCTACGTGCCAGGGTCATATTGCTAGTGGTGGGATACAAATGTGGGTTGCCGTAGGCGCCAGTAGACAAGGCGGACTACAAAAACGTAAACATAGCAACAAGATAATTGCAGGTCTTGACTTCAGCTACAAGAATGAGACAGGAAGTAAGACCACCCGTAGGTCATTACCATAAGTGTGGACAGTCTTGAGACTCCCCGAGCTACAATTACTATAACCGCTATACTCCATGAAATACTTAATGTTAATAAGGAGAAAAAAGAAACAAAAACATGTGACCTGAACAGTGACCAAACGAAATTGCTACTTAGCATGTTATTTCATTTCTTGGTATCCCATTGCTCAGGATTTTGTGCTTGGAATAAGCGATAGGTAATAGAAAATTTGAAAACAAAGATAGGTGAACTTTTAGATACAGCTATTAGAGTTTTAGTTCACAAAAATCAACCTAAATCTCCTAAACTTGGAGGAGGAGGGGGAAGGGAAGGAAGAGAAGAAAGAGGGAGACAAAGACTTGCTAAGTCACTAAATTGCCCGGGCTGGGCTCAGCTTGTAATTTTACTGTCTCAGCCTCCCAGAGTGCTTGGATTACAAGCATGTGCCACAATATGGGGCCTCAGACTTGAATTCTTAACCTTAGACCATCACATACTCACAAGGTAGAAAATGACTGCACCTAGACATACCTGGCGTTGCATTGCTTTATCAAGAATGTGGATATTAAGAAGTTAATGACTTCTCCGTGCGTGGTGGTACGTGTCTGTACTACTGGAGAGGCTGAGGCAAGAAGATTGCAAATTTGAGACCAACCTGGACCTTAGCAAATCTTGTCGCAAAATAAAAAAGGCTAGGGATGTAGTTCCCAAAACTTCAGTCAAGAGCATTGGTGAAGGGCAGGCTATGCCAGGAGGACAGATAAAAAGGTCAAGAACTGTCTTTTAGGGACTGACAGAAACCTTGGGGTTTTATAGAAAAGAACAAAGACAAGGGTTGGGGGTTGCATAGCTGGCGACATGGGTAATCCTAGTCAGGCTGTGGTCTGGTTGATTATTATCTGAGGATTGCTTCTTTGAAGTGACAGTTCCTGCTTGGGAGGGTGGGTAGGGCTTATCAATGAATGGTCTGCAAGGCTCTGCTTTTCCTGAAATTCAAGATGACTACAGATTTTGGACAATGTCTGGTGACTTTGAGACATTCTTCCAAGGGATCTAAAATTAGACATTAAGCTGGGCATGGTGGCACATGGCTGTAGTCCCAGCACTCAGGAGGCTGAGGTAGGAGGATTGCCATGAGCTTGAGGCCAGCTTGGATTACGTAGTGAGTTCAAGGCAAGCCTGAATTACAAAGCAAGACTCTGTCTCAATAAATAAATAAATAAATAAAATTGGACATTATAAAAGCTGTCTTTTAGATGTCCTTCCAAATACTGAAAATTACTTTATTCTCGCTGTCCAAAGTCTTGAAGGAGGATGCAATAGGCTAGGTGAATTTGGGGTTGATAAACCTTGTATAAGTAGTTTTTTAGATAGACACTTCTCTAGTGATTAACATACCTACATGCACAGCTGAACAGGGATCTGACCCAAAGTTTTAAGGTAATAAAGGAGACAGATATAAGATGAATACAGAGATGCCAAGCTTTATTGTGCTTTCAGTTACCCACTGGGCCTCTGTAGATACCTGTTGCAATGCCTAATTGCAAAGTGAGGGGAAGGACAGCGAGAGCAGAGTAGAGGTAGGAAAGGTGGGGTATGAATCAAGCCGGGTTTGGGGCATCATGACAAGGAGTGTTTTACTCGGAATGACAGGAACCATTGAATGGGCAAAGCAGCAGAATCACTTCTTACTAAGAGGCAATAAGAGGAACTTTTCGTGTTATTCTGGAATTGGTGACCAGGACTCAGAGTGGAGAATTAAGTTCTGCATTCTAAAGAGAGTCAAAAACATAGACGGCTTGTCTTGGTTACTTTTCTCTCATTGCTGAGACAAAATACTGAACGCTCAAAGTTGAAGGAAGGAAGGTTTATTTGGCTCAGAGGCTCACAGTGTGAGAGGTTTCACTCCATAAGCAGCTGACTCCAAGGCAGGTGGCTTGGCAGAGGGGCAACACACAGGAGAACAAGTTTATGGCAAGCAGAAGACAGCAAAAGCAACAAGAGGCCTTCCCAGCATCTGTCTGCCCCTTTTGTCTTATCCAGGCTACTTGGGGCAGGTGGGGCCTGGGGAGTGCAGTGCCCAGTAAGAGGCTGTGGAATTAACTGGATGTGAGGAAGAGCTGAGGCGATTGGAAGAGGTTAAAGCAGAGCCAGCTTCTGGAGCCAGAATTCCCAAGTCAGGTATCCCTGAGTTTCCTCCAAGGACCCCGTAAATGCACTTCCATTTCTGGCGATGGGGCTCAGCAACTTCAGTGCCAGATAAAACAGTTCTTAAAAGTCTTTCAAGGTGCACCGATGAGCTGTTAAATTAGTAAGGAATACACGATAGGCGACACTAAAACAAAATTGCTAACTTGGCATGGTAGGCAGAACACGAAAGCGAACCTTCTCCTAAAGTTGTTTGCCAAATGAGACAAGCTTGAGCTTGATTTTCACACTCCTGTAAGGACAGGGGCCAGCTGATAAAATCCAAGTCCCATCAAAGGAGGTGACTAATAGACCTTCCTCACTCTCAGGAAGAATTGGGAGTCCAAGGATGAACCTTTCATGCTGGGGTCTTTCAGATAAATTGGCTGTTTCAAACCTTGGGAGTGAGTAGAAGGGGCAAATGTTTTCCCTGAGAATGTACCATCACAGACTAGTCCCTCTGTGGATTTGTAGCCTAACTCACGATCCATGGGTGGCCTAAAAACTGCAAATTTAGATTGATTTCTGGCTAATAGTACTTTCAGGGATCAGGAATTCACAAATTCTGTCTGGAGGAGCCTACCTTCGGCCCAGGCTCCAAAAGACTTCCCCATATATGATTCCAAGAAATATTAAACTGATAATCATGAATCGCAAGAATCTACGTGAATTGCATGCAGAAAATGAATGATAGAAAAAGTAGCATGATCAGATTCATACTAATATCAATTGTGGGTTCCAATATGTCTGTTTCAAAAAAAGTGATGGTTGAACATAGCAATAAACAAGAGAAGCCTAAAGTATTGTCAGAGTTGGACAAGAACTAAATACAACAGTTACAAATGAAAAACTATAAGAAGTTAAATTTAAAAACATAATAAATCAGGTTAACAACAAATTAGACATAACTAAACAGAAAATCAGTGACCAGAAAGTAGATCTGAAGAAATTACCTATAGCAGACAAACAGAGGGAAAAAATGGAGAAAGAAAATACAGGACCATGACCTATTTAAACTGGATTTTAGAAGAAACAAGAACTGAGGCAATATTTAAAAAGATAAGGCTGAGAATTTCCAAAACTGATGAAAGATACAAATTTATAGAGTATGGAATACTGACATCTCAAGTTGGATGAATAAAAATTAAATTTTCACTATGACTTGTAGTGAACTGCAGAATAATGAAGATCTTAAAAATAGCTAGAGAGAAAAGACAGATTACCTGTAAAGTACAGAAAAATTAGAAAGCATCTAGACTAGAAGCCAGAAGACACTTGGAATAATGCCTTCAAGAATGAGGATTAAATAAAGCCTTTGGAAATACAATGGATATCATCAGTAGATATTAAAGTTGGGCATTCTTCAAATGGAAGGGTTTCCACATGGAAATCCATATAGAGGTAATATGGAAGATCATATAGAGGTAAAGAGACAGTGAACAAGGAAAGTGGAAAACTAAAATTATATAAAAGAATCATGTCTGTGGGTTTTTTAAAAAGATAAAACCAACAAAATATACCTAAGACAGAAAAATAGTAACTAAATTAAAATATATGTCACAGAAAAAAATCAGCGTGGAGCTAATCAGAGATTCAGTGTTTGAAGGTTCTTGAATTGTTTTGGAGGAGAAAAACAGGACTTCAGTGGGGCGATGACACATCATAAAGATCCCTTTCTCCTTGGTTTCTTTTCCTTTTTTCTGGAAAACCTCTCAGCAGGACTTTTCATCCTTTGATCTCCACCCTTTTGCTGAAACTGACCTGCAAAATTCAATGTCATATGAGCTGAAAATTGTGACAAAAAACCACCTATTGCGTTTTTATGCCTCCAAACTCACTTCTACAAATTACCTCCTGTCTCAGAGAAGATACTCTTTTGTTGATTTGAAGCAAAGTTCTCCCTCTGGGGACCCTCAGCTCCTGTCTCTTAACTGTCATTCCCTCTTTCTTCTGCTTCTTCCTGGTTGTTCTCTTTTGGCCTTTCCTGTCTGCCTTATACACCATGCACAAATCTTCTCTATCCAGAAAGGAGGAGGGGAGGGAGGAAGGGAGGAAGGGAGGACGGAGGGAGAGAGATTATTCCTTGTTCCCTTAAATCTCTCAGCTATCACTTTGCCCCTACCTTTATCAGCTGAACTTGTAGAAAGTGTGCTATCTTCTTAGGTCCCGATCCCTACTTCTGCTCTGTTTGGCTGTAGTGCGGCTTCCATCTTTACCTTCCTTTGTCACTGATTTTGCCAGAATGACCATGGACTGGCCAGTTGATGAACTGAATGAACGTCTGTTGGAGTTTTCCTTACTCTGTCCACCTGAAACCAACCTTCTTGAAATACTTTCTTCCCTTGGCTCCTAATACAGTATCACCTCTTATCTTTCATTATTTCATTTTCCACAATTTTGCTTACCCAAGGTGAACAATGATCTGAAAATACAGAATGGAAAATTCCGGAAATAATTGATAAATTTCTATGATTTTTGTCAAATTGAGCACTGACCTACACTGATATGAGTCCTTCCTGTGTCCAGCATATCCACCTATATATTCAGTCTACTGTCCCTTTAGTCCCTTACCTATTGATCATCAGATTAACTGTCTTCTTATTGCAGTGTTTGTGTTTAAAAACAGTAAGATATTTATGTGGGGGGGGTCATATTAACATATCTTTTTGTTTGTTTAGCTTCCTTGATTTTGTTTATTTTGGAGACAGGATCTCACTATGTAGTTTAGGCTGGTCTTGAATTCACTATGTAGCCCAAGTTAGCCTTGGTGATCACTCATGGTGATCTTCTTGGCTCAGCCTCCTTAGTGCTGGGATTACAGGTGTGCGCCACCACAATCCTAGCTCACATTAATATGCCTTTTATTCCAGCATATTATTCCAGCATAATTCATTTGTTTTAGTTATTGTTAATTTCTCACTATACTTTATTTACATATTAAACCTTATCACAGGATGTGTTTATGTAGAATAATTTATATAAATATATAAATAAAATTTGGTATGCCTCATGCTTTTAATCATTCATTGGGGGTCTTGGAACATATCCCCTATGGATAAGGATGGAGACTGTACTGCCTTTTCTGGTGGTCCTAGAATTTTCTGATAGTCTATCTTTTTCCCAGTTCTCACCCCATATTTTTTCAACAGCTTTATTGAAATATGATTTATATACCATACAGATGAACTCAGTTTAAAGTGTATAATTCAGAGCCAGGCATGGTGACATATGCCTGTAATCTCAGCACTTGGGAGGCTGAGGCAGGAGGATTGCTGTGAATTTGAAGCCAGTCTGGGCTACATAGTGAGTTTAAGGCCAGCCTGAACTGCATAGTGACCCTGTATCAAAAAACCAAAGGAAGCTGGTGTGGTAGTGCACGCCTGTAAGCCCAGCACTTGGGAGGCTGAGGCAGGAGGGTTGTTGCAAGTTTGAGACCAGCCTGGGCTACAAAATGAGCTCAAGGCCAGCCTGAGCTACATAGTGAAACCCTGTCTCAAAAAGATCAAAAAAAAGAAAAAAAGAAAAATTATAATTTTTTTTGTATATGTATAATTTTTTTTGTATTTGTATAACCATCACTATAAGTGAGCATTTTCATCATCCCCAAAAGAAAACCTATGCTCATCAGTAGCTACTCTCTAATTCTACTCCTGCTGCTTCTCAGTCCTAGGAAACTACTAATCTACTTTTTAAAAAATCTATATAGATTTGTCTATTCTGGACATTTCATATAAATAGGCACCCATAAGGTATGAATTTTTGTGATGGGCTTCTTTCACTTACAAACCACTTTTTGAGGTTCTCATGTCACGGCAGCTATCGGCACTTAATTCTTTTTGGTCACTGAGTAGTATTTTCTTGTATGAAGAGATGACATTCATTCATCAATTGTTGGGCATTTGGTTGTTCACACTGGGTTTTTATGTATTCATAATAGCCACATAGCTAGGAATATTTGTGCACACAGATTTTTATGGGGATATATGTTTCCATGGCCCTTGGGTAGGTACTGAGAAATAGGATTGTTGGGTATGTGGTAGCTACCTGTAACATCTTAAGGAACTGAAAATCTTGGCTGCACTGCTTTACTCTTTCATCAGCAGGGTGTGAAGGCTCCAATTTCTTCACGTCCTCCCACACTTGCTACTATCTGTCTCCTTCATGATAGCCACTCTAATTGTATGTGGTGAATTCATGTTATGTGGATTTCATCTGGGGGAGGAGGGAAGAAAGCATAAACAAAAAAGAAGCCATGCAAATAATTTTTCACAACGAGACAACGAATAATAGTGTCAGGCGAACATCCACATAATACAGAGGATGTTCAAGAAAACCTAGAGGATTCCTGAAATAGAGTGGCTGAAACCTACTCTGAAGAATTTGGAAGGTAATATCCTTTCAGACCCATCTTTTTTCAATCTGACAGATACCTCACCTTGAGGCATTCCCTCAAAAGCCTGCTCTGCCTCCTGTGCTCTTTATTTTAGTAACTTGCATCTCTATTGTACTGCTGCAGCTCATGCATAACTCTGTCTGTCTGTGTCCCGCATCATACCCAATGCCTCCAGCACAGTGCGTCTACAAATTCCTTATAAATTCCATAACCCAGGTTATTTTTGGTCTGAGTAGATCTTGTGGTGGACAGGATGATGGCTCCCCAAAGATGTCCATGTCCATATCCAAAGTCCCAGAACCTGTGAATATGTTTATTTACATGGCAAGACAGACTTTGCAGATGTGTTTAAGGTCTTGAAATGGAGAGCTTATTCTGGATTTTCCAGGTGTATCAATCCTTAAAGGTAGAGAACTTTTTTGGCGACAGAAGGTGATGAGACTATAGAAAAACATCCAAAGACATACAGTGTTGCTGATTTGAGGTTGGAGCGAGGGGGCAGTAAACCAAGGGGTATGAGTGGCTTGTCGAAGTTAGAAAAAGTAATAAACAGATTTCTTGTAGTGACACCAGAAAGCAAGGCAGACTTCCCCACACCTCGATGTTGGACTGACATTATATATCTCTGAGTTTACCTAAAAATACTTTGGAATTTTTGTTTGAATTACAGTCATCGTGAACCAAAAAACAGGAAGAGCAAGCACAGTCCTCCCTAGTTCGGCATTTGAGGGGTAGGAGTCAAAGTCAGCTGGAATCTGTTCTCTCGGTTTTCCTGGAGCTGTAAGCTCGAAGCTGTCAGGCCTTGGACAGATAAGTACCCCTGTTTTCCAGCCCGGGAGTTCAAATCAGCAAGGGCACCGCTGTGCCGCAGACCCGTACAAAACCACAGAGTCTGTGCTAACGAGCCTCCCAGCCAATCAAAAGCCACGCACTTCGTTGTCTCTATGACAACGGCCTAGGCTGCAACGCCTCAAAGACGCCCTGGCAAGTCCAGTACTAGCTGGGCGCGGGAGAACGGGCTGACACCGCGGAAGTAAGCGGCGCTTTACTAAGTGGGGCCTGGAAAAGCGTCTTCACAGCTCTGTACCGGTGCACAAGAGGCCGCCCCTCTGCTTGGGGGAAGGAAGATGCAGGACACAGTAGAACCTCGTCCCAGCCAGAGCGAGCCGAAGGGACCCGTCTTTAAAGCCAAATGTCTTCCCTGTCCATTGGATCTTTAATTCCACACTCAACCCGCAGTGTATCCAGCTCTTTTGCTGAGGCCGCCTCCTCCATCACACAAGAATATCCAAGTTCCAGTCACTAACCCTGGTTTCCACTAAAACCCGTGAGAGGAGACGCTGCCTGGAGAGTTTAGCTTACCCAGATCCGATTCGGTTACGCCAGAGAACCTGCGACTCCTGGAGCACTGGGGAACCCGGGTCCCTGAGCTTTTTCTGCACACCTGGGCCAAGACACACCTAGGGCGCTGACTGGGGACTTCATAGCTTCAGTCCTCTTCCGCGAGGTCTGAGGCTGAACTGTGAGCCCACCCAGCCTTGATTTGGGGCGCGCGAGTCTCAGCATCCTGTTGCTTTAGTAAGACTAGGCACCGGCTCTGACTGCGTCGTTTTAGAGCGCTGGTCCCCAGGCCACTGTGCTCTCGCGCCACCTGGTGGTCACTACTACCCACGACTGTTCTACACTGTTCACCTAACAATAATGCAAATTTGGCAGTTTCTACCTGCTAGGATGGTATCAGGCCTGGCGTTTTATGTACATTATCTCAAGTTAATTTCACAACCTGTGCGATGGATATTTTAATCTCCACCTTACCTGTGAGGAATCAGGTACAGAGAATAAAAAATTTGCCAAGGTCATTCAGCTACCCAGTCTCACATCCAGGATCTAAGTGGCCTCTGTGCTGTGTACTCTCCCGGGTCACAGCTGAGTCCCTTCTGGCCTGCCTGTGGTCCTGGAGGCCCAGCACAGTTCTCCAGGGCTCTCACCTACTCACCTACCAGGCTCCTGGCAAACACCTAGCTGGCATTGAGACTAATCTGATGTTCAACACCTTGTGTGCCAGCTACCACAACGACACCTTAAACTCCACCAGCAAATTGTTTCCTTACTCCCAGTAGATTCAAGGACCAAGTTTCCACTAATTAACATACATATTTAGTTGGACGTGGTGGCCCATGCCCGTAATCCCAGCAATTGGGAGGCTGAGACAGGAGGATCATTTCGAGTTCAAGGCCAGCCCGGGCTACAAAGTGAGTTCAAGACCAGCCTAAATTGCATAGCGAGAACTTGACTCAAAAAGACCAAAAAAGAAAAAAACTAACATATTTACCCATTTTATATGTTGTAATAGGCATCTTTTTTTTCCTCCTCCCTTTGTCAAACATCCCATTCCTCATCTTAGTAACAGCACATCCCTCTTTTGGGGGAAGATATTCTCTCTCTCCTATGCAGTTCTGCTGAAGTGACAGTCACAGCCTTCCAGGTGACCCAAGGCAGGCCGATTAGATCTTTCACGAGCGTTTTATGCAGATACTGGGAGAAAATGGTGGCTTTTCCCCTTGAGTTGTAACAGAGCTGTGAGAATTTGAGGCCAACACACGGAACCCCAGGCTGCAGGCTAATCCAGAGGAAGAAGAATTAAAGATGCGGAAGTTGCAGGGGCGGGGAGAGGGAGAGGATATCTGTGCTAGTCCTGAGTTAGCTGGCCTTGTGAGCAGCTAGTCCTGCATTTCCATGGTTTAATGAAGTACTAATTAAGTAGTAATTTCCTCCTTTTTATCTTATGTCTGTTTAAAATGGGCTGTCTGACTGTCACAACCAAGCAGTCCTGGATAGTCGCATTATACTCCCCTAAACCAAAAGTATTTGAAATAGCATGAAGCCAGCTTGCCAGTACAGTTATAACTAAATTTTTACTTAATTATAGGCTTACAAGAAGTTGCAAAGGTAATCTATGCAGTGGCCCTGTGTGCTCATCATGCGGCTGCCCCCGGTGCAGCATTTTACACAAACTCTAGCATATTATCAAAGCCCAGAAACTGATACCCACACAATGCGCTCAACTAGTCCACAGATCTTACCCGGATTTTTATCTTTTTTGCATACACTTGTTTTTTTTTTTTTTTTCTTTTGTATTCAGGATTGAACTCAGGGTCATTCCACTGAGCTACATCCCCAGCCCTTTTGATGATTTTTTATGAAACAGGGTCTCACTTATACTCCAAGTTGCTCAGTTTGGGCTCAAAGTTGCAATCTTCCTGCCTCGGCCTAACAGAGTCCTGGAATTACAGGTGTGTGGCCCCTCACCCAGCTTTTTTTTTTTTTTTTTTTTTTTTTTAATATCTTTAGGTATAATTCCATGGCACCTTTTCACATGTATGTATTCATAAAAACATTATTCCTTTTTCGTGTGTGGTGGTGGTTGTGAGGATCAAATCCAGACCCTGCACATGTTAGACAAATGCTCTCCTACTGAGCTATACTATCAATCCCATCATTACATTTGATACAAAACTCTTATCACCATGAAGATACTCCCTTGTGTGACTCTTTTACAGTGATACACTCTCTGCTTCCTTCTCTAATCCATGAAAACCACTGATCTATTCTCCACCTCTATATTTTTATCATTTCTAAAATATTAAATCAATGAAATCACAGTGTGTGTGAGGTTTGTTTTGTTTTGTTTTGTTTTGTTTTTGAGACAGGGCCGTGCTATGTAGTTCAGGCTGGCCTCACACTCATGGCAATCCTCCTGCTTCAGCCTCCTGAGTGCTAGGATTGCAGGTATGTGCCACCATGCCCAGCTTGTGAACTTTTGAGATGCCTAAATCATCATGTGTATCAATGGTTGGTTCCTTTATATTGCCAGACATTATTCTGTTGTATTTAATACAGTTGTGTTGTGTGGAAACTGTACCACTGTTTGTCATTAATTCAGTCTAATTGACTCATTGTGTGGGGGTAGATACTGGCAAAACTAGACACTTACTCCCCCAGACCCACACAGAGTGAATCACAAGCATCTGGGGCCTTGTCACAGACTTCCTGTGATGATGTTCAAGAAAGTGTGATCTTGGTCTATCTGCTGGCCACTACGGACCCCACCAGCCACCCTCAAGACAAATTATATTCTCTGAAGCCTCTCAAGCCCCACAATGTGTTTTTCAGTTCAACAAAAGTTCCTTGAACACTTCTGTAGCCAAAGCTTTCCGTGTCCCTGCTGCCCCAAATGACGTTCTCCTACCTCCCTGCCTGGGCCAACCTGAGGGCTCCATGCACCCTCACCCCATCCCGGGTCAGGCGCCTCAGCCCAGCCAAGTGATGGTAAAAAGGATCAAGGGCAGAAGCAGCTCTCTTTGGGTTTTGACAGCCACACAGCTGTCCCACAGAGCCCCCCTCTAGCAGGTCATCTGTCCAGTGGTTTGTCCTTGTTAATTGATGGCAGGGCCCAGAAATGCCCCGGCATCCCATATTTGCCTGGATCCGAAGGCCTGGCTTGCTTTATCCCAGACTCTCCACCTGGGCTAGGAGTTATGAACAGTGTCCACCCACGGAAGGCTTCCCTGGATTCCTCTGTGCTCTTGAGACAAGGAGGCTCAATGACCCGGAACCTGGTTGGTTGTGTATGAGCCTGATTCCACCTGAGCCTCCCGCACACCCATGGCACCTCCAACTTGTGCAGCCAAGTGTTATGGTTGATACATTGTGTCAACTTGGGGAGTCTAGAGGTTTGGCTAAGTGACTCAGCAGGAAGCCAAGGTGCTTACTTTGTATACATCCTGAGCCTGTGGAAGAGGAGGGCATGGAGATTATGCTTGCCGCCATTCCCTCCTTTGCTCTTGTTGCTTTGTTATCTTCTGTCTCGGAGCCAGCCAAGTATGGACTGAAACCTCCACAAACTGTAAGCTAAATAAACCTTTCCTTCCTTCATTTTGGCGTTGGGTATTTTGTCTTAGCAATGAGAGAAAAGTAACCAAGACACCAAGCCACCCGCTCTGCTTGGAAATGACCCAAACACAAGAGAGAGGAAGGCAGAGAGTGAGGGACTAGACAACAGCAGTATTTTTTTTCATGTTATATTTCTTGAATTAATTGGGTTTTGTTTGTTTTGAGATACAGTTTCCCTATATTGTCCCCAGACTGCTCTCAAACGCGTGGGTTCAAACGATCTTCTCCCTGCCTCTGCCTCCCAGGTAGCTGGGAATACAAGTGTGTGCCACCATGTTTGGCTATTATATCTGAGTTTAAAAATAAACGGCAAGTTAAGTAATATGCAAATATTCGGAGGTAGTTTTGTTTATGACCAACGTCCTCCAACACTACAACTACATACACAAACCCAGGGGACATAGATTAGGTGGTCCTGAGGCTGAATCTGCCGAGGGCCCCATTTAGAGACATCTGCCTGCTAGGTGGGCTCGAGCCCTAGGCGGATGTCACCCACTCACGTGCCCAGTAAGTGGGGGCCGAGTTACCTGGACTCAGGCTTCACTTATTACAAAACGTAACGTTTTTTGAAATTAGCTAGGCCCACTCCTTCATTTTATAGAGGAACTAGAAGCCTAGAGAAAGCAAAGACCCTAGTTGGAGGAGGAATACGGTACAGGAAGAAAAAGATGCATGTGACCAGTGAATGGGGTTCCTAAGTTACATTGTAGCACGGCATTTTAAACACCCATCAGGTAAAAGCCGGTGCTTAAGACAATTTAAGTTAAAAAAAATTAAAAAAAAAGACATTGTTAGAGTGGGCTTTGATCGTTTGCATAGCTTTTCCTCCTTTCTTTTCCACTTTTGTGGGTTTTTTTTGTTTTTTGAGCTTTTTTTTGTCTTTTTGAGACAGTGTTTCACTACGCAGTTGAGGCTGGCCTTGAACTCAATTTGTAGCCCAGGCTAGTTTCGAACTCACAACGATCCTCCTGCCTCAGCCTCTTGAGTGCTGGGATTACAGGCGTGCGCCACCACGCCCGGCTCTTTTCCATTTTCTCTTCAACTCTGCTTCCAGTTCTGCCACTATGTAGTCTCCAAGTGTCTTTTCCCTTTCTGGCTTTCTATTTCATCTGAGTAAGGAAGGAGCTGGTTCGGCTGATCCAAGTCCCCATTTTATCTTTCTTCGGCAGATACTACATATGGCTCCACCCTTGAAGGTGTGGAAACATGCATGAAAGTCGTCCTGCTCCTTCGTCTCTCCCGTGGCCTCTGGCTTGGGATGACACACGCTTGGAGCTGATAGGCTCAGGCGTTCCGGCACCTCAGACGTCAGGCCTGCCGCATTCTCTGTCCCTCCCAGCCCCTGCCCCGGGAAAACGCTGCTGCAGCGCAGCGGTTGCCATGGCGACCCGCCGGCAGGTGTAGACTCTGTTTCCCCCTCGTGGACACTCGGGGAACCTGCGACTCTGTCCTTTCCCGTTGCCTGGGGAAGTGGCTCACACTCCAGATGCAGGTCCCTTTACAATTCGTCCCTGAGCTAAGCCCTGGCTTCAGTGTCCTTCCGCCCCACTTCTCCCGCTGTTTTGCTCCTCCTCCTGGGCCCAGACCTCTCTGGCTTTGTCGCCCAGGTTCAGGACTCCTAAGCATCCACCCCTCCTTCCACGATCCTGTGGGGGATTTACGAAGGGCTGTCACCCAGGGCACTTCCAGAGTCCCTCTAGACAGCACAGAACTCTAAAGTGCTGTGGACTAACACCTTTCCCTCGGCTCAGTGCCCCTAGTAAGCCTTGATTCAATCCTCCGCTTCCAGAGCTTCTTCTCCGGGGTGGGACCCCTTAGCAGGGCAGCGGAGACCGCATCCAGGGAGCCACGGTGCGTGCGGGGTTGGGAGCGCCTCAGGAGAGCTGAGCATGGCGGCCTCAGCGGTGAGATGGGCAGGCGTACGCACCAGCAGCCCCGACGTGGAGCAGTGACAA